ATACAAGAAAATACACACAAAACAGTATGCCAGTAGTCAAAAATGCAGAAGCATTCATCTTCTTTGAACTGAAATAAGTAAACAGTAAGACAAAACACTCCATTCAGTCGAATGAATAAACCGTAATGCAATTTTGAATTTCAGGATATTGCAAGCACGGAGACACCAATACAAATTCGTTATTTTGCAACGAATGAACAGTAATAAATGAACAAATAAGTCAGTAAACAAAAACAAATTTCAATACAAAAAATGTTATACAAATGTATGAAGTCACAAAACGACAAATATAATAATTGTAACTGCTGAAGCATTTCGATGTCATACAAAACAATTGGATAAATATTACAGTTTTGAACGAATTATTAATTAGTGGTATTAATTTATCAGTTCAGATGAAATTAACTGCGTTCATCAGTTACTGAAGACAGCCTTATTGGCCAGGAAACTTTGTTTCCGTATCTTTTTCGCTTCTTCCAGTTGTTTTCGTTCCTCTTGCTCTTGTTTTATCTCCTCTTCGAATTTACTCGATTTCGCTAGCTCATCGATCTGAAACATTCATTGATTTCTGACGTTCAAGATTTGATCGCGATCAATGTGATCAGTTCTTTGATTGATCAATATCACGACTTTGATATTACGACTTTGATCCATATGAAAAATACCGATTAATGTAAACAGATCATTGGTAAATTGAGATAAACGATTTTATGCGAGTGCTTCGTACATTGAGTGTTTTATGCGATCGAGCGCTGTTCGGTTAAACTATGAAAAGCGCTTTTCTAAGTATTTGTTTTGCAATTCGTAATGCTTTCTTTCTATTCACAATTCATATTCACTCATATTCAGGTGTTACTGTCTTTGCTTCGCAGTTCACATTTACTCACGTTCAAGGGTAGCTGTTTTTTGACACAGAATACACGAACATAAATTTTCATTGATATTAATACTAATCGAAATCATTCACCGTTTCATCTTCACGACACCATAAGGATAATCTGACCGAATCATGAGATCGACAGCATTTTAGTGATTTGCATTGTTGCTATGTTCCCGGACAACAATTACACCTTTGAAATAATATCTTCTCAAAACATCGCAGAAGATGGATTCTTCGATCAGCTATTCATTCCTTTACTTAGCAGTAATTTCATTATGAATTTGCGCCTTTCTGGGCCTTACGAGTTTATGCCTTTAAGCATCTTTGTGCTAATGTTATGTGGATTTCTTCTCGTTGGACTCGAACGCATCGACGTATCTCCGTGACCGGTCAAAAGACACATTGCCTAACGGACAGTTTGTTTAACGGACAGCTTGCCTAAGGAACAGTTTGCCTATTGGGTGAAATATCCATTAAAAAACGGTAAGCTAGGCAAACTGTCCGTTAGGCAATGTGTCTTTAGGCAAAATGTCATTAGGCAAAATGTCTTTAGGAAGATTGGCCGAGTACCATATATCTCACATTCTTGAACTGGATTAATCAAATACTCAGTCATACTTTGGCCTGGAAGAAGCCAGCTGCTGTGTGAACACCCTCTTTGGTGACATCGATCGATTGCGCTAGCTCATTGAACACTTCCGAACACGACAGTTGTCCAGTGGCAGCGTATCGAAATATCAACAGAAATTCTCGCAGCGATACCTTCCCGTCACAGTCTTCATCAACCTGAAATCAAACACTTCACATAGACTGCTACTTTCAGTTCAGCAAGTGTGAACGCCCATAGAAATCGAAACTCCGTCTAGAAATTCACTCAATTTCTTCATAAATTTTCTGTTTTTCTGAAAATTTCAGAACTGAACCGACCATTTTAAGGATTCCTTTGAGTGCGATGTGCGTTTGTGCTTCACCCAATTTCTCCATCATACGTTTCAGTTCGTTGAAATCAATAAATGAATCACCGTCTTCGTCGAATCTTTAACAGTGAAAAATGAAATGGAAAAATGACCACAGGAAAAAATTACGAAAAATTCCCAAAAACTGAAAGAATCCGAGTGAAGTCGAATCAGATCACGTCAATTCATGAGCATAATCAAGCGACGTGAATGTTTAAGTTCGAAGGAAAGACTATTGATAATGTTCCATTTTCCAACTCTACATTGATATCATCGTTCAATTGCAAAATGCATATTCCAGAAGACGAACTCGAAGTCAAGTCCCTCTTTTGCATTAAAATTTTCACTTTCTGACTAACATCAGAATATTAAGCGTCAACCTTTGAATCTTTGAATCAACTCGAATGTTGTAACCGTTCGTTTGTATTAGTAACATTATTTGTCCACAGTGCGTTTTAGCACTTCTAAGCAAAAATTTTAAAACATGCAATCAGTTGGTAACAAACCGTTTGAAAGTCTCAGTGAAGAATTTGATTTGTTTCCGTGAGAATTCATGGAACTCCGTATAGACACTAACTTTCGGTGCTTTCACTGGCTCCACAGCTTCACCTGGAATGAATGGTTGACAATCGATCTAAACTGCAACGAATTATTTTGCAAAATCATGATTATTGGTTTGGAATGAAATTATTTCTTTGATCACTTTTTCAAAATTATTGCTTACAAAACTGCTTTCCAGGATAAACTAGCGTCCAAAACTTCCGAAATCCTGAATTCAGAGGGTTTTAATTAAAAATTGATACCTTCTCGTG